TAAATACATATATATATATATATATTTGATTCGAATATTTATTATTTTAGTATTTATATGATATTTTAATTATTTATATTATATAATATTATTTAAAATAATTTTCTGCTATTTTTATTATTTTCCTATATATAATATAGTATTTATTTTATATATTTATATATTATCATTATTTTATTTAATATTATAATGTTTCGAATTATATAATATATAATCATATTATATCTTTATAATTTATTTCGAATTTTTCGGAATGAGTTAGCTCATTATTTGATTAGAAATTTTTCTCTCTGATAGATCTTGAGTGAATGAGAACCTATAATATGATATAAATAAAAATTCATATAATATTTCCATAATAGAATATCTCGCGAACTAATATCGATTAATTTTTTAGGATTGGAGAAAATTATGAGAATATTTTCAAAAAGATTTTTGACGGTAATTTGGAGGCTCGGCAGGTCAGATTCTGAGCAGCGGATATAAAATTTAATATTCTCCGATATTATATTTGGCAATATTATTAATATATCATTATAGATATCGATTTCTATGAAATAAAAAAATGAGTATTATCGAGAAATTCTTGATACTTGATAATAGAATATTATTTATGATATATGATAATAGTATAAATATATTTTTTATATCATCAATCGAAGTTCAGATTACGAGTAGTACTAGAATTAATTATATACTTTAATATTTCTTTATAGATATATCATGTTTGATATTCTTATTTTAATCATTCATTATTAAATATGAAATATTTGATAAAATTTCAAAATATAGTGATCATAAATATAATCCTAACAATCTCCTATTTATTTTTCAAATAGAAATTTGGACTACGAGGCGGAAAATTTCGGAAATATTGAAAGGAGAGATATAGAATTCTTTTTTAATATCTACTCAAAATTTTTCCTCAAAAATTATAATTATGTTTCCTATATCTTATTTTCTAATTTCCAAGAAGAATATATAAGATAGAATTCGAAAAATAATTATGTCGATCCGATCAATTCGAAATAATCAGAATAATTAAGAGCTTTCATCCCCATTACCCTATATTATAAGAAAGAGTTCCAGAGAATTCGAATCTTAATCTTTATAATATTCCTCTTAATATAATTCGATCTAATTAGCTTTTTTCTGAAATATATTAATCGAACCTATCTTTAGAAATCTTAGTTCTTCAATATTCCAATCGTCGCAACCTCCTAAATTCTCTTCTCCTCTTTTCTTTTCTTATCAATAATAATTATCTTTCTAATGATATATATATTTATATTTATAAAAAGAAATCTATATTCAAATTTTAATATATCTTTAGACCTATATGAAATCTTAAATGATCCCATAAAAAGATATTAAAATCTATTCTAATCAATTCTTATGCTATATCGAAAAATATTTATATTATATAATAAAAATAAGAATTCTAAAATATGAGTCAATCAATATATATTGTTCGAAATCATCAAGAAAGAAATATTTTTAGAATAAATATAAAATAAGTAAATAAAGAAAAAGATTTAAGAAATAGATCTAATTTAGGATATAGAATCAATTAATATTAAATAAAATATTATATTTAAAGATTTTTTTATTCTATCTATTTCAAGAAAAATAATAAATATTATGCCAAATAACTCTTATATTCATTAAATGAGAAAATTTGAAATTATTATCTCATAAAATCGATATAATTAAAATAGTAGGTTTCTTAAAAAGATTGACCTTCGTAATAAGAGATGTTTCGGCAATAATAGAGTCTACAAAATCGTATATATTGTATCTCTACAGATTATGGAAAGCCTCAGTAAACTATATCTATCAATTATTTCGTATGACTCACGAAATACCTCGATTTGTTTGAATCGTCAGAAATATCTTATCATGCCTGTGGTTATATATCGTCATATCATAAGGGTAGAGGTTTACGAGAGATTTCTAAATTCTGAGCCCGGAAGATACAAAGATTCTATATATACACATATAGACCCCAAGCCCTGGATCTGAACAATGTACAGTCACAGCGGATGAATCACATGACTACATTAAAGTCTGATCTGACCGCCACACTGCAGTTTCTTCGAATCGAGTGCAAAGAAGAGCCCATCATGCTTCATGCAATGATATCCATGAGCCATCTAGGAGCATCACATCCTACATCCTAGCATCCTGATCCACTAGACTCCGGACCTTAAGTTAGGAATCCTGAGCCCCCGTCCCGAACCTTACGGTTTGCCTCTGTTTTGGAGACGCCTCAGATGCGATGAAGGTGGAGCGAAGTCTGCCGGCAACCAGCCTTCGCCGGGGTCGAACTACAGTTCGAGCTTCGGATTTCAAGTGTCCAGTTTTCGTTGGCTAGTTTCCAGGCTTCACCTCACAAGCCTTCTCTTTGCTACGTCACACCCAAGAAGCCTGCATCCTGCTCCGGAAAAGCTTGTGTGTTACAACACCTGCAACGCTGTGCAGCATCCTGGGCCCTGCGAGAAGCCCTGAAGTCCTAGAACCCTAGAAGCGAAGATCAATACAAAAGGGGGAGGATGAGGCTCCCCGCAGCCATGATTCATGACAACCTACCCTACTCGGAGGATCAGCAGGTTCAGCATGTTGGATCAGCACGAACTTAACCCAGCCAGAATCACGAACAAATAGGCATTCGAAAACGGTCATCGGGAGCTTTGATTTCATGTTCAGTTGTGTGTCGTCACGGAGCAGACTAGATTTTCGGCCAAGCCCTAATTCTGGCGGGATTGCAAAAGCCAAAAGCATGTCGCACAAGCAGCCGAAAATTTGAGTGGTTCCCTTGCGTCGCTGCTGCACAACCGCGACAGGCAAAGGGGTCTTGCGCAGAAGGCTTGACACGGCATTGAGTTCTAGGCTCTTCTGACTTCAAAACCCTTGGACTGAGAGAGTGTCTCACCTAGTGGGATGCGATACCAGATCTTGCTTTCTCTTTAAGAACTATCGCTTCTTGCCGAAAACTACCCCTGAACAGGGCGACACGAGCTGGTACTGTCGGGGCGGCTAAAACCAGGTAACGCCACATGAGACGACCCGCGCGATAGAGGGGTGCTTTTTAAAGCAAAATGGCAGTTTTGCCGAGGTAAAACGATGATTTCTGGATCATGAGTTCTTGTTTTCGCAGACATCTTTGCGCAACCTGGAAAGTTTTCGGGTCTTGCTTTCGTCGTTGTTTTATCTTTGGAACTAGTGTTTTGTGGTTTTGCTGCTGCGAAAACGAGGTTTTGCGTTTGACGGCTTGATTGTCCGGCAGCATGTCTTTACAGCTTTCCGGATAAAATGGCCTTTTTGGATTTCGGTCAAGGTTTGGGTTTGTGGGGCTTCACGGTGTTGCCATTCCTTTGTAGTCTTCGGGGGGCATTACGGCAAAATGGCAGCTTGACAGAGATAAAACGATGATTTCTGCTTGATCAGTTCCTGTTTTGGGAGACAGCCTCGTGCAACCTCTACAGTTTTCGGGTCTTTCTTTCGTCATTGTTTCACTTTGGAATTACTGTCGTGGGTTGTTTTTGCCGAAGCGAAAACAAGGTCGTGGGACGTCGGGTTTAAGCTTTGAGCTTGAAGGTTTTGGGGCTTGCACTGCTTCGCCAGGGCCTGGGATGCTGGCTTTAAGCTTCTAGCCCGAGGGTTTTGGGCTTGCGTGGGATGATTGTTTGGAGTTTGAGGGTTTGGGCTCAGACGCATGGAATTGTAATAGTATACTACTATAGGATCACAGAAAAGACTGGCACAGCGTAGGCATCTGGCCTGCAAACGCAAACTAACTAGGGAGTATATGGTTGTAAGACCATGCAGTACAAGTGCAGCAGCAGTGGCAGCAGAACTTACGGTTGTAAGACCATGCAGTACAGGTGCAGCAGCAGTGGCCACTGCAGCAGCGGCATAGCAAGGGTGGTTAGTGCAGCAGAACTAAAGTTACAACTAGTAGCACTGCTACTCCTGGGACTGCTAGGTAATGGACGTCGTCAGACAGAACGAAACTAGCCCCCCCCTCACCCCCCCAAAACACCCAAGAAGCAGACAAAAACAAGCAGAACCCGCGGGTCAATCGGTGGTGCGTTAGCTAAAACAACCATCCAAACCTCAGGAAGGCTTGCGTGTTGCTCACCTGAAGCGATCGAAACCGGATTACAGGCAGCATCCATCACGACGACCACAAAGACTGCTACAACTCCCGATCCTGGCAGTGCAGTTTGCATGTCAGCGCAGACCCCAAACATTGTTCCCATGACGATTGAACTTTCGCCTCGTGAAGCCGACCAATACTCGATGGGCGGGCGCGTGATGACCATTGCTATGGTTCTTCGTGCTCCTACGTCTGAAACTTATGTTAACAGCCTGCCTTCCAGCACCACCCGCCAGATCTTGAAAACGAGCCTTACGAGGAGGCAGGAACAGAGATAGAAGTGAACAATGCTTTGCAGCTTGCGTTTCCGGAACCCGACACCCTGAACCACCAATTTTAAGCAAAACCCAAACCGCACTGCAAAGATCGGGAGAGCTGGGTTTGGGGCCTAGACCTGAGGCTGAGGTTTTAGGGTTGGAGGTTGTTGGGGCCAGGAGCTTCAGGATTTACTGTCCGTATAAGCAAGATCTGCAAACCCTTAGTGAGGGTTGCAACTCCCTGCAAGCATTCAAACGAATGCATGTGTATGTGCGCATATATAATTCAGAGTGATATAATAAGTTACATACATCCAATCCTTCATTCTGTCCTTCCTTCCCTCCTTCTTTCCTTCCTACATTCATTCATTCATCATTCGTTCACCTTATTTGCCACCACTGAAGCCGTCATGCTTATCAACCCCCAACCGAGTACAGTAAACAAGCCGTAAACCACAATGCTAAACCCTTCAGCCCTGAGCTGTAAACCCCCGCACCGCCTACACCCTAAAAGTCAGCACTGTCAACCTCGATACAGTGAAAGCTGCTACGGCCCGGAGCCGTCAGCCTTGGAACCCAACATCTTGAAACGCGCCGCACCATCCAAGAATTTCTGTCGACTTTCTTTCGGGCTTGGGGCAGCAGAGGACCAGGCTCTACCTCTTTTACATGTATGACAATGTAGGTGCTCGGAATTCACGTTTCAGGGGGGCGCCTGAGAGCTGATGGCTCTCACCATCTCTCACCTACGCGTCCTGAACGCCTGAATTCTGACAACGTGGAAGATGAAGACCGAAAGCAAAGCTCCTGCCCTGAGCTCCAGAATCATTTTCCCGTCTCGGTCCCTAGACGCCCTAAACCCGTTCTTGAGGACCCCACACCGTCGGCCCTAGACCTTATAACACCAGCACTCAGGTGCTTGCTTGTGCAGCACTCGGACCCAGCAAGTCCTGCAGCACCTGTACGGTGCGCGAGATGCTTCAGCCGAATGTAGGGGATCTTACGTGGGCGCGGCACGATCAACGATTGTACATCACCATGTAACGTGGCTTGAAACCCTGAACCCTAAACTTCCCTAAACCCTTACAGCGCTTTCAAGGTTTAACTTGTCGGTTTGCCAATGCCAATCTTACGAAGCCCTGCGTCCCGGACTGTGTAAGTTCGTGAAAAAGCGCAGCTTACATCATCTTTCTCGAACCCCAAACCCTAAAGCCCTAAAGCCCTTGTAGAACCCTCAAAAGAACCCATTAAGACGCTGGGACGTGACGTATCATCTTGAAGTTCGTGATGCAGCTGGCCGCCGACAGGGTCGAAGATTCCGGGTCATAACAGAGAGGCTTTTGCCATCACTAGCGGATATAGAAAACAAGGTTGCCTTCAAGTCTAAATTTAGCAGAAGAACGCTCAGCTAATGAAGTTCTGTCATTAAGACGCTGGGCTGCTGGCTGCGATCTCCTGCTCGAACAGCCCAGAGTTTGCCATGTCAGGCCTTTCAGAAATAAGGATCCTACTATTTTATTGCCTATCTTACTCCCACATTTAGTGGTTAGTGACTGTGCCTTGGCTAATCTGGCGCTTTTTGGGCTTGGCCTTAGAAGACATGGAACTTCTCGATGGAATCAGCAAGGCTTTCCCGAGAATGACGCCGACAAGAAGAGTTCAACCGTTTAAACCGAAATCAAACTAGCGCAACAAGGAGAGGGCCTGACTCCTGAGGACAGCACTTCGAAAGCCTTTCAGGTTTACGGTGCGGAACCTAGGCTCAACTCACCTAATAAGACCGGAAAGTCACGGGCCCAAGCTGGTTCAAGTCGTTAGACATCAACCAAGCCAACTTCTCGAGGCTTTTTATGGGACTTGGGGCTCGGAGTCTCAAGGCTTTAGGGTCCGAGCCAAACCTATAAGTCTTGTAAACCCGATAATGCAACATAAATAAAACCCAAACCCTTATCGTTCGAACAGCGCCGTAAGACGTGCCCAAACCCATGAGGTCGCGACGAAAACAACAAAATTGCTTGCAAGTACACACTGCAGAGCTTTCGCACACTCTCCAAGCCGGATTTTAGCCGAACACATGGATGGCGCCACGTATGCTATGAGGTCGTAGTGGACGTGAACATGATCGGTGCTGCTTTGAGGCACGGACTGGTTGGGACATGGATGCTCAGTGGGGTCGCAGTGGAGGCTCATGTGGGGCATGGATTTGCTGGTAATCGGACTGTGAAGTGATCTTTCTCACGCTAAACCCTTAAGCCCAGAGCCTAGAGGAGTCTTACTGGAACCTCAGGGGCCGTATGACGGTCTCTTGGTCGAGCTGTATAGGGCTTGGGGTTTGGGCGCGAATTATAACTATTGCATACCCTGCTATACGGCCAAGCTGGCGAAGGTGGACGTTCCGCGGAGGGCGCTGAGGGCCTATGAGGGCCCTGAGGGGGTTGGGCTTGCCCTGGGCGCGAATTAACTATTGTATAACCTACTATACGGCCAAGCTGTCGAAGGTGGACGTGCCGCGGAGGGCGCTGAGGGCCTATGAGGGTCCTCAGGGCCCTGAGGGGTTGGGCTTGCCTTGGGCACGAATTAACTGTTGTTTTCCCTACTA